CAAGGCTCTGAGGAACGTGGGGTGGAGCAGAACGGTACTGTCGGGTACACTCAGGAACCCCTTTGTGTGAATTCCTTGTAAATGAAACACCTATTACCACCCTCTATAATAATACTTTATCGCATTTTAGTTGAATGCCAGCCCCTGATTTTCTAGCCCACAGTCCATCACAGCAAACACCCATTTCCTGACTTGGACATGTTCCCCCCAACTTATGCTGTCTGGTTTTCTTGAACTGTGTGAGAGAAAAATTAAAAGAATATATTTAATATCATAAAGTTGCCTGTTTTCCATTTGATTTGGTTATGTTTCACCTGCTGCACTGAAAATACATTCATCACAAGAAATAGATTCCTATACATGTGTACATTGGTAAATCATCCAACTAAATAGGGCTTGGTACGTATAGTGCAGACACTGTCCTAGGAACTGAGGAGACAGACGTGAATAAAACCCAAAATTATTTGGGGTAGTTATTTCCCCTTTTCTGTGTATAATTTATATTATATAGCCACTCTTCCCCCAACACACATAATTTCAGACTTAGAAAAGTGTTGCAAGATAATAGAAGATTTCCCAGGTACCTTTCACTCTTCCACCTTTTGATATTAACTCTTTCAACAGTTGAGAAACCCAAACCCATTAGTTGCAAATATATTATTTCCTTGATCCTAGAATGTACTGAATGTTGTTTCAGAATTACTAACCATGTCTATGCCAGAATGCTAGTTCCCTTGGAACTAGCATTCTGGTGAGGCAGTCAGATAAATGGTTAAATTCTGTAAAGAGAATTAGCCTGAGTTGAGGGGACTGGAATAGCAGCTACTTGGGAGGCTGTGGCAGGAGGATTGCAAGTTCAAGGCCAGTCTCAGCAACTTAGAACTTGTCTCTTTAAAAGAGGTCTCAAAATAAAAAAGGTCTCAAAATTTAAAAGGGGCGGGGAATGTAGCTCAATGTTACAACACCTCTGGGTTCAATCCCCATCTTACTACAAAAACCAAAAAAAAAGGAAATAAGCCTGGAGCGGTGGCAGGTGAATTGGATGGCCACTTTGATAAATTGATATCTGAGGAGAGCTCCAGGGGTAGAAGGAGCCAGGCTGGTTAGTGTGGTAGTGGGGGCCTCTTCAAGCAGAAACAGCAGTTAAGTAACAAGGCCCGGAGGCCAACAGGTGATTTTCTTACTGGAAGGATAGAAATTGGGCCAGTTGTTTCTGAAATGTTTAACTCCGGAAGACATTTGGATGACCTGAGTCTTGAAGAATTCTGAAATTTCTCTGAATTTTCTTCCTGAGAGGTTGCCGAAGGGGCTTCCTATGGCTCTTTGTACTGTATGGAATGCTTCAACTCAGTAATAAATGTATCTAGGGCAAGACAATTGTCACTTCTGTTGTCTTCATGTCAAGCAACTGGTTTCTACTACTGGCTCAACTTTTGCTTTCTGTAGAACATAAAAGAAACTCAAAGATCATTCAGTTCAGCCTGTCTAAAATTTTCTGTGTTGTAAAATGCATAGCAAGGCCTGAACATACTGACACATAATATCCAAGGAAGGGTTCCTGGAGTTTGGAATGTTTCAGTAAAAGCACCAGGTGATTTTTAAGATAAGGCAGTTAAGAAGCACTGATATAGCCACTCTTCCTCCAACACACATAATTTCAGACTTAGAAAAGTGTTGCAAGATAACAGAAGATTTTCCAGAGGTCTCTTCCACTTTTTGATATTGTTAATTCAACAGTTGAGAAACCCAAACCCATTAGTTGCAATATATTATTTCCTCGATCCTAGAATGTACTGAATGTTGTTTCAGAATTACTAACCCATGTCTATGCCCTAAGAAGCCTAATAATTAAAATTCAATATATATTTCAAATTCCTTTTGTCTTGAGCCTGAGGGCATATAGTCTAAATAGTCTAAATTATTTGGGGGTAGTTATTTCCCCTTTTCTGTGTATATGATTAATTTGAAATATGGTTCAGAACATTTGTTTATTTTTGTTTGAATTTTACATTCCCTCCCAACCTAATGATTTTATTAAGTGGTTACTTTTGAGTATGTAAACCATAAACATCTAATCACTGGTTGTGCAGATGGCTTAGGGAGAAAAATTCCATAGCCTGGAACAGGAGACAATGTTTCCAAGGCTGTTGGGCAAACAGTGAAGCACAAGTTTGTTGAATGTGTCCCAGTCCCCAGGACAGTGCTGTCTCCATTTTACCAGTTTCCCTCAAACACTCTCTGCTCCAGCAATTTCTCCTCATTGGTGTTTATTAGGTTCTATTTGCTTATCCCACCTTTGGATTAATATAGGTTTCATTCTAGGATCAAGATGGTGTCAGCTCTTTTTCAGTGATTTGTCTAAGACCCTTCAACAAGTTTGGCAGTTTTTTATATAGTTAAACTTATCACAAGCCCCACAATCTTACTCAAAAGAAATAAAATCATGTCTACATAATACCTTTATATAGGTAATTATATATTGGTTTCATTCATAATGATAAAAAATGTGGAACAATCTGAATGCACATCAACTAGTGAGCGGATGAATTGTCAAATCATTCCTACAATGGAATACTACTCAAAACAAAAAGGGGAATAAATTACTGAGACATGCAACACAGGAATGAATCTCAAAAACCTTATGCTGAGTGAAAGAAGAGACACTTTGGAAAAAACAAACTATAGTGAAGGGAATCAATAAAGCAGTTGCCAAGATCTGGGAGTAAGAGAAGATTACAAAGGAGCAGTGCAAGTGAATTTTTTGGAGGGATAGAAATATACAATTGAAGACAGGGGCAGTGGTGCATGCCTGTAATCCCCAGCAGCTGGGGAGGCTAAGACAGGAGAACTGCAAGTGCAAAACCAGCCTCAGCAAAAGCAAGGCACTAAACAACTCAGTGAGAACTCTGTCTCTAAATAAAAATACAAAATAGGGCTGGGGATGTGGCTCAGTGGTCGAGTGCCCCTGAGTTCAATCCTACCCCCCAAAAAGAAAGAAATATACAATTGATTGTGGTGGTATATGGTTATAGGATGGTATATATTTGTCAAATACATAGAACAATACAACTAAAAGGGGTGAATTTTACTTTAAAAAGAAGCCTCCCAATTCTTCTACTTCCACTCTTGTGCCCTCATCCCTGGTCTAGATCTCTAATTTGAGAGTGAAATGCAAATCTTTTGCTGGCTCTGGGGAGCCTTTGGCCATTTTGGAATATAGAAATGATATAATGAATTGGTATTTTAAAGAAAATTAATAAACCAAGAGCTTTAATAAGGATAGGAGCTAGGGAGGGAGACCTGTCTGGAAGAAAAGCCCTGGAGGTGGTAAAATGTGACTGTGTCCTCCACTGGAATGTTCTATGAAATTCATCCCTTCAAAACCTGAGTGCAGTACCTACCACTGCTAGGCACTAGGCATACAATGATGCCATCTAGTGAGGTTGTGGGGGTACTTTTGGTAGAAGTCAGAATAAAATTAGGATGTGAACTGCGGAAACAACAGGTGCAGTGAGTAGGGTAGTTGGAAGATCTACAGGAAACTGCTGAAGATGTGGTGTTGTCAGAGGAAAGGAGGGAGGAGAGTGACAGCAGAGAGAATGGAGTGTGAGGACACTGCAGTTCCACGTGGCTGGAGGATACATGGGGTAGGGATGAGTGATGTTCCTGGAAAGGAGGAGCCTCAGGGCCCCTGAGGGTCTGGGGCAATGGGGAATCACTGTGGATGTTACGCAGGGGAACAACATGATCACATCTGCAATTTACAGAGGTGAGTGGGATGAAATGGAAACTGATTTGGAAGATGGCAACAGCAAGGCCTAGTAGGGACCAGTCTCCTAACATCATTCAGCAATTCTGTGTCTAGGAATTTATTGTACGTATTTACTTGTATTGTATAAAAGGATGTGTTTCCAAGTTATTCTCTGAAGCTATGTTTGTAATAGCAAATATTGGAACCAGCCTAATGTCCAATAATATAAGCCAAGGATATTAAATCATGACTGTACTTACCAGTGCTGGTTCTGTAGGAATCTGAGAAGGGGCTAGAATTCCTAAGAGCACAGATGTAGATGGATGTTTGATAGTCATCAGCTTAGGGGTAAAGGTTGAAGTGAGATAGAATCAGTCATGTTAAGACAAGAGTAAGTTCTGGTGGTTGCTCCTCAAGGGCCAAATTTTATTCAGTTTTGTATGCCCAGAATCAAGCACAAATCAACTATTTGATAACCTGGGCCTGGGGATGTGGTTCAGTGGTGGAGTGCTTGCATGAAGCCCTGGGTTCCATCCCTAGCACCACAAAACAAAACAAACACAAAAACATTTGATTCTGGGCTGGCTCTGCCTAGTTCACTGAAGGGCACATTCCTCAGTCCACCACCCCAACTTCCAACTTGTTCCTGCTCTGGACTTGGGTGGGCATTCTAAAAAGGGAAAGAAAGCGGGGTTAAAAGGAATTTGATAAACTGATTTATATATAGGAAAGGGCTGGAGGAACCAGGGAGGGAAACCTAGGAAAGGTGGCTAAGAGAAAAGCCAAGACAATGTACTGGCATGGAAGCCTGAGAGACAGCCCGAGTCTTCGAGCAGGGCACAGTCCAATAACAGAATACTCCTGGATCGGGACGACAGTGCTTCCACAGAGCTTCTTGTGATGTCCGAAAGGAAACCTCAGTTTTCTCATAGGAAAACGGAAGGGCTTGGGTTTCAGGACTCACATCTCCTTCCAGCTCGACCACTCACACCCGGCTAGCCCTTTCCGCGTCGTCGTCTAGGAGACGAGCATCACTTCCGGCAGAACTTTCACTTCCTGTGAGGCTCCGCCCCTTTCTCGTGAGCGGGCGCTGATTGGTCCGTTTGAAATGCGCCGGGCGGGAGCTCACCTGGGCTTGCAGCGGCGCCGCCGGGCTTTCCAGAGCGCAGCGCCTGAGAGGCGCAGTACAGCTCCCCGCGGCGTGGCCCTGCGCCCTACAGTCTTCGTCCCCCTGTCAGATAGAGCCTGGTGTCCCGCGCACGCGTTTGGGCAGCACGAAACCTGCTGCCATGAAGCCAGCGTGAGTACGGGACCCGAGAGCGCTCTCGGCGGAGGGGGCCTCGGCCGCGGGGTGGGGACTCCCTTGGCTTCTTTCCTGCATCCAGCCCGGCGTCCTGCCACGGCCTCTACGAGGGAGTCTCCGCGTTGGGCCGCTCTGGCGGGCCCGGGCTCTGAGACCCGACTTCCGTCGGCACCCGGTGTCCACCTCCACCCCTGGCAACCCGCTGCTGGGGAAGGTGGGCCCGAAGTTTGGGATTTCTGTCGTCACCCTGTCTCCTGCTGACAGGGTTGTCATCCTCTGGGCCCCGGCACCGTCCCCCCCGCCATCCCTTCTTAGGGTTCCCTTCTTCCTCCCTGGCTATCCCCGCTCCCACAGTACACTTTGTGGAGTTAGTGCTGTCTGGGGTCGTCGAGCGTGTGCAGCGGAGTGTGGTGTGCTAGCGCTTGTGGGTCAGGTGGTTTCAGTCCCCGGACTGCTCTGGTATCCTTGAGCATTGCTTGCTTTCCTTAGCCCTGTGAGGTGGCCCTAAGGTCAAGCCCTTCACCTCTCACAGAACAGTTACTTCTCCTTATCTTTGTCCGCAGGCAACCCCGCCCCCATCCACAAACGCCCACGCCCACATTCCTTACAAGTCCGTGACCTATTTTAAGCTTAGCATCATTCCTGGTTAAGGAAGTACTTTTTGTAAAGAAGAGCGCTGACTTTTCAAGCGCTTACCATTTCGCTAGTTGTTTGCAAAAGGCAGCTTGTTTTAAAAAGAAGCCTAAGTCAAAATCTTTTTTTTTTTAATTTATATATGACAGCAGATTGCATTACAATTCTTAATACACATATAGAGCAGGATTTTTCATATCTCTGTTTGTGTACACAGTATATTCACACCAATTTGTGTCTTCATACCTGTACTTTGGATAATAATGATTATCACATTCCACCATCATTAATAACCCCAGGTCCCCTCCCCTCCAACCCCTCTGCCCTATCTAGAGTTCCTCTATTACTCCCATGCTCCTGCTCTCTATTCCACTATGAGTCAGCCTCCTTATTCCAAAGAAAACATTTGACATTTGTTTTTTTGGGATCCGCTAACTTAGCATTATCTTCTCTAACTTCGTCCATTTACCTGCAGCCATGATTTTATTCTCTTTTATTGCTGAGTAATATTCCATTATGTATATATGCCACATTTTTTTTTTTTTATCCATTCATCTACTGAAGGGCATCCAGGTTGGTTCCACAGTTTAGCTATTGAGATTTGTGCTGCTATAAACATTGATGTGTCCCTGTAGTATGCTGTTTTTAAGTCCTTTGGGTATAGACCAAGGAGAGGGATAGCTGGGTCAAATGGTGGTTCCATTCCCAATTTTCTAAGAAATTTCCATACTGCTTTCCATATTGGCTGCACCAATTTGCAGTCCCACCAGCAATGTATGAGTGTACCTTTTCCCCCACATCCTCGCCAAAACTTATTGTTTTTGTCTTCATAATAGCTGCCATTCTGACTGGAGTAGACAAAATCTTAGAGTGGTTTTGATTTGCATTTCTGTAATTGCTAGTGATGATGAACATTTTTTTATGATTTGTTGACTGATTGTACATCATCTTCTGAGAAGTGTCTTTTCAGGTCCTTGGCCCATTTATTGATTGGGTTATTTATTTTTTTGTGCTTAGCTTTTTGAGTTCTTTATATACCCTAGTGATTAGTGCTCTATCTGATGTGTGAGGGGTAAAGATTTGCTCCCAAGATGTAGGCTCTCTATTCACCTCACAGATTGTTTCTTTTGCTGAGAAGAAATTTTTTAGTTTGAGTCCATCCATTTATTGATTCTTGATTTTAACCAAGTCAAAATCTTTATATTAAAAAAAAGACATATTAGTACATAAACCTGACACAGTATTATGCATTTAGAACTCTAATGTGTTTCTTTTTCATCTGAGAATGTTTTGAGAAAAATATTTACTAGTGTACAGTCAAGGCCAATATTTCACTGTTAAACATTTTTCTAGTCTCTAGATAAACGTGAAGGTAAAAATGTGATACAATAGGGAAATAAATCACATTATCTTTTTCTATTGAGAAAGACATTGAGAGCAAAACATTGTCAGTTTGGGACCACATTTTGTTTTCAGATTAAGGATAATAATTTTTAGCATTTTGTTCCTTGAAAGCAGTATTGATAAAAATATTGATGAAAGAATGGATTCTTATGCCTGTATTTTTATTATTTATCAACTTGTTTTAGTAGATTGTCAATCTGCCTTGATAATGACTGTTGACACTGTGTGTTTGTGCACACATATAAATATCCTTAAAGATAAATGTGGTCGGTAATTTGTAGATGTTTCAAATTTGTAGTGCCTTTGTAAAATTGTTGGTCAAGAAAATCTACAAGTTATTTAAAATATAGAATGAAAAATAGGTACATTTAGTACCAAAAACGTGTTCTGAACCAAATTTTAATTGCTTTTAGGTTATGTATGCTACAAATACTCTTCTACTAGAGCAATTTATGATGATTATTAATGTTATTTGGGTTGTAGTATTTTGGCACTGTAAGGAATAAATAAGCTGAAGGAAGTTTGTCTCTGTATGAATTATATGTGAAGTTTTTGTTTGTTTATTATTTTTTTATGTTGAACCGAAATGTTTTTTATTTATGACCAGGAGAGCTAAAACACCTAGGAAACCTCTGGTGAAAAAAGGATCCCAAACAAACTTTAAAGACCCAGTTGGGGTAAGGTCTTTCTGTAGATTTGTTTGTGTATTCTTTCTTCAGTTCTTTTCTGTCTTATATATATGTTTGGAAAACAAGCAAGAAGAGATATGGCAGTGAAGTCAAAGAACAGATAGTCTTTAGCATGCTACTTTCTGCTCAGAAACATATCCTCCCCACCTGCCTGCAGTAATTGATGCCACACTTTCCAAGGAGAGCCCCAGATTCCAAGTTTCATAAAGACTTTCATAAAAAATAGCTTAATGCCTCCTCATAATTGCAAATACTTCACTAATTTCAGGTTTAGGAACTTGCTTTTAAAATGCAACAGCAAATAAAAGAGGGTTGGTTTGCTCTGAGGCATTTTAAAATCCCCCCTCCCTGCCACTGGAGTGGGTCTCTAGGTCTGAGCCGAAGGCACCAGGTGCTTTACACACAGATTTTCTTCAAATACCTTCTCTCCCTCCCCACCCTGCTCCTTTTTTCTTTTTTTTAACTGTTTGTTAAGTGTTAGATTAATTTGGCAGAGTTTTAATTGACACCCTATTCTGAAGAATTCTAACAGCTTTTACTTGTCTACTTGCCATTTAGTTATTTGTTGTTGTTTGTGATACCAGGGAATTAAGCTAAGGTTTCAAGCTTGCTGGGCAAGTGCTAGCATGCACTTCAGTAGCATGTTCCCCTGAGCTACATTCCTAGTTTGCTTTTTTTTTGTAAGAATCTCACTAAATTGTCTAGCCTGTTCTTGAATTTAAATCCTTCTTTCCTCAATCTCTCAATTAGCTATGATTACAGGTGTCCACCACTGCTCCTGTGAGAGACATTTTTATATTATTAGTAGTTTAGCTTTATCATTTGTACATGATATAATGGTGAAGAGAAGCTGCATATTTAGTATTTTTGTTATCGAAGTTTATTTACTTGGTACTGAAGATTGAACTCAGAGGCACACTCAACCACTGAGCCTCATCCCCAGCCCCACACTTTTTTTTTTTTTTTTTTTTTTTTTTGAGACAGGGTCTTGCTAAGTTGCTTAGGGCCTCAGTAAGTTGCTGAGGCTGCCTTTTTTCTTTTTTATTTTTTTGCCTCAGCCTCCTGAGCCACCGGAATTACAGGCATGCACCGCTGCACCAAGCTCCAAGTTTATTTTGATTTCATGTGTATCTTAAATCTTTTCTCATATTTATTATATATGTTTGCATTTGATAAATTTTGGCTTGATTTTGCTTTTCGTGGCTCTTAAATTTATATAGATCTCTTAAATTGAGAGACCAAATGTTGATGAATGAATGTATGGGAAGCTTAAATGGAAAAAAAGTAAAACTTCTTTTAAGTGCTTTCTTTCTTTTTGCAGGTATACTGTAGGGTGCGCCCACTGAGCTTTCCTGATCAAGAGTGCTGCATAGAAGTGATCAACAATACAACTGTGCAGCTTCACACTCCTGAGGGTTACAGACTTACCAGAAATGGAGACTATAAGGAGGTGAAAGAACCAAATTGTTTTTACTTGAAATGTTATTTCCTGAATGACTTTTCCATTTTAAAATTTAATGAAGTTCGTATGTGATCCCACTTTTTGTGGTGTTTTTTTTTTTGTGTGTGTGTGTGTGTGTGTGCGTGCGTGCGTGCGTGCTGGGGATGAAACCTAGGGTCTCATGCATGCTAGGCAAGCACTCTACTACTGAACTACACTCCCAATTCCCTACAGTATTTTTGATTTCTAGAAAGTATAGACACAGTTTTGGTATGCTGAAGTTAGAGGATTACTTTCAGAGGATTTGTTATACTAGATATATTGGGGTAGTTTAATGTGGAATGATTATTAGGCAGTTTTACATATACTATTTCATGGGTAGAGATTAAAGTAATGTTTAATAATTAGCATTGTGTATTTGTATCAATCTCTTATGCAGTATTTTTATATTTAGTAAAATATTGAGTAAACTCAAAAATATTGAACTAGTTCAGTTTCACAAATGTTGCATTAAGCTAGTGGCTTGAGGGTAGAAGGAGATTTTTAAAAAATGGGTTGTTAAGGCAATCCTTGCTTTTTTGGACTTTACAGCTTAATTAGGACAAGTGGTAGACAAGTAACCCTCATATGGCAAGGTAGCAAGGCCAGTTGAGCTAAAGCTGGGGGCATGGGAGTTCAGCAGGAGGAGGCTTAAACCAGATGGTCTCCTATTTTCTATCAGCTATACATTTTTTTGTGTATGTATGCATATTGCTGCAGTGACATTGCTCTTTAGATGACTACACATGACCTCTTTGCTATTAAAATTGATGCTCACCTCTTTGTCCTCCCTCATTTCAGTCTCTCAGTGATACCCTTCTCCAATTCTCCTTGTGCACTTGACCACCCTTTTTGGCTTCTCCTCCTTTTCCTACTCTAAATTCTGAATTGGGCTATGTCCAGGGCTGTATTTTACATATAAGTTCCCCATGACTTTAAATGTTGATTTTATGGTAAGAGCTCTGGAATTTTTATCTTTAGCCTAAAGCTTTCTCTAGCTCTAAACTTGGGCATTCATCCACTTACTTTCTGTCTCTGCTGGATGTCATTTAAGCATCTTAAGTTTTTACCTGTCTAAAGGGCACTCTTGATTCACCTCAGTCACTTTCTCTTATTCTCTCAAGTGATGACACCATCATTGTCTAGTTACTAAGGCCAGAAACCTGCAGCCTACTTTACATTGGCTCTTCTCATATTAAGGTCATTAGTAGATCCTATCAGTTCTACTCCAAAGTATATCTTGAAACTGCCATATCTGTCTCTATTTCTACTACCTTATTCTCAGCCTGGTTATTAATTGTTAATACCATTGTTTCCCAAATTGTAGTAAAGGAGTAGTGATTTTTTTTTCTACTTTTGATACACAGCAGTGGATGCTTTAGTGCCAGATAGAACTAACCATGTGAGTGAGATGACAGAGAACTTCTCTATGGTTATTCAGTGAAATTAGCCCATTGAACACAGGCAGCTATATGGCTGAAAAGTTTCTAATGTTTAAGTAGACTGGTGACAGAAAGTTCTTAGGCAGGCACTGGTTTGTTTGCTGACCATGCTTTGAGTAGCATCTATAAGTCTGCTGAAGCCTAACTGGACTCTCTGATTCTGTTCGAATTCTTCTTTAATCCATTTCCATAGAGCAGTCAGAATTATCTTTTAAGGCATAAATGAAATCTTATAATTCCCTTATTCATAACTTTCAAGGAATATAGTCTTTAAATGGACAAAATCCTGCTTAGTTTGCCTTCTCTTTGTCTCTCCACCCTCATCTTTTAGTATTAATCTAATCTTTTTAGTTTCTTGGATAAACTAGAATCTGCCTGATATAGAAATACAGAAAAGTTCTTGTTCTTATCGTGGACCTCTTTGCCTTGGATCTCAGCATGGACGACTCCTCATCCTAGGTTTCAGCTTAAATATCATCTCCTTTGTGTGTTCATACTGTCCCTTCAGAAATAGCACTTACCACATCTGCTTATTTAGTCATGTGTTGTTTAAAAATGAGGATACATTCTGAGAAATGCATTATTAGGCTACTTCATTGTTATGTGAACATCATAGAGTGTACTTACACAAATCTAGCTGGGATAGCCTACTAAATATTCCTAGGCTGCCTGGTGCAGCCTGTTGCTCTTGGGTTACAAACCTGTACAGCCTGTTTCTGTACTGAATGCTGTAGGCAATTGTAACAATGGTCAGTATTTGTGTATCTACACAGATCTGAACAGGTTTATTTACACTGGCATCATCACAGACCATGTGAATAATGCACTGCACTTCATTATATCTCACTGGGCAACAGGAATTTTTCAGCTCCATTCTAATCTTAGAGGGACACTGTCTTAACTGACCTGCCATTGAGATATTATTATGAAGTGTACAACTGTACTTTTTCATTGTCTCTTTCTTCTACTATATCATGTAAACATCAGGGGGTGTGCATTTTATGTGTCCTGTCTGTCAGACATTCAATAAATTTGGATTAAGCATGAATGAATGATCTGGGAAGGCTTTTGGAACAGTAGGTCTTTGAGGATGTAATAGAGTTGAACACTGGCTTTCTGTATTTCAAGAAAGTATAAATAAAGATTTCAAATATGTATAAAAAAAGTGTGGTGAGGATTAAAAATTGTTACTGCCTCATGACAGATGGCAGCATTTTGTAATTAAAAGAGCATTGTGGGGCTGGGGTTGCGGCTCAGTGGTAGAGTTCTTGCCTGGCACATGTGAGGCACTGGGTTTGATCCTCACAACCACATATAAATAAATTAAGGTCTATCAACAACTTAAAAAAATTATTATTATTTTTTTAAAGCATTATAGTGGAAATGGATTTGTCTCCAGTGGTCTAGGGGCTTGTGCATGTTCCTTCTTTGGGCCTCAGTTTGCTTTACTTTGAAGGGAGGGTATTGTTCCTGAGAATTGGAAGACATCTATCTGACCCCCCCCAGCACTGTCCTGTGTGTATCCTTCCCATTCCAAGATTTGTTGTTCTTTTTGTGAATAGAATGAAAATTTCCCCAAGAGTTAGCCTAGCTAAGTTAGGTGTGTGGTCTTTGACAAGTTACTTGATCTGATTTTTCATTTATAAGATTTAGCAGTTGGCCCTGGATCTGTGGTCCTATATCAATGAATTTAACTAGCCATGGATTGAAAATGTTTAGGAAAATAAAATACATCTCTATTGAAATGGGCAGACTTTCTTTCTTGTCATCCGTCCTTAATCAATATAGTGTCACTCTTGACATAGCATTATCATAGTATTATGTATTACCATAACCCAGAGATGAGCTAAAGTGTATGGGAGGATGTGTGTTTGTTTTATGCAACTGCTATGCCATTTTATATAAATGGACCTCAGAGTTTGGTATCTGGGGGGTCTGGAACCAGTCTTCCACTGATATTGAGGGATGGCTATACCTACATCTGAGGTTTAAGAACCAAATGATTTACTACTTTAACTGTGCCTGGAATGTCATCAGTGCCTGGTATTTTCAGTTACTATTATTGTTCTTATATATTTGAATAGTAATTTGTCCACGTTTCCTTTTGGCGAACAAAACTTCTAATTTAAAAAGTGCAAAGGTGGGGCTGCGGTTGTGGCTCAGTGGTAGAGTGCTTGCTTAGCACGTGTGAGGCCCAGGGATCGATCCTCAGCACCATTTAGAAGGTATTGTGTCCAGCTACAACTAAAAAATAAGTATTTTAAAAAATAAAAAGTGCAAAGGAGCATAATATTGATAACTAAGCAGGTTGAATTTAAGGTCAAAACTGTAAAACAGGGAAAGACATTTGGCAAAGTCTGTAATCCATAATAAGTTCTAGTGAATATTCACCAACTACTAAGTTATTTACAGCAAATAAATAGCTTTCTGAAATTCATGAAGGAAAAATTATAATAAATTCAGGAAACCTGCAAGAGCAATTATGATGTCTTTTAAAACTTATTTTGCATAAGAACTCAGAGGTGAGATTATATTTATAGTTTTATTTCTGGTTTTAAAATGCTGTATGTAAAAAAACAATTGGTATTCATTTCCCTAAGGACATCTTTATAAAGAAAAAATGGGAAAAATGACTTGAAGATTTTCACACATCAATGACTATGAATCATGACAACACCTTTTGTTGTTCTTTGTCACTTAATTAAAACAAAGTAGGTCTTAGACTATGAAACATTGGTGGACTTAAGACTTTTCTGCATTCTCTTCAGTAGTTGGGGCTGAAAATATTTGCTAGTTTTTTTTCTAAATTGTAGTTACTAACCCATAGAAATTGTACAGATAATAGGTTTCGCTGTGACGTTCCTGTACATGCTATGTTGTGCTTTGATAATATCTGCCCTCCCTCTATCTTCTTTCCTCCAGTTCCCTTTCTGTATCCTTATAGTCTCTCTGCTACTGTCAGGTCATGTTTTGTTTGTTTGTTTCCATATATGAGAGAAAACATGTGTTGCTTGCTTTTGTGAATCTGACTTACTTTACTTAACATGATTTCTTCTAGTTCCATTCATTTTCTTACATATGATGCAATTTCATTCTTTAGGGCTGAATACTCCACTGTCTATATATACCATGTTTCTTTATCCATTCGTCTGTCTACAAACTCAGTATAATTCGTTGTAATCCCTTTTGTCAGTTCTTGTTCTCATTGCCTGTGCTTTTGGAGTTCTATACCAATTGGTAATTGCTGTAATTTAAGCATGTACTGACTTTTTAGTGGGTTACTAAGAGTTCCAAGTTTAGGGGCTGGGGATATAGTTCAGTTGGTAGAGTGCTTGCCTCACATGCACAAGGCTCTGGGTTCAATCCCCAGCACCACACACACAAAAAAAAGTCCCAAGTTTAAAGGCCATTCATATTTCTTTCTTTGTGTGCCTACAACTGAAATATTCATAAAGAAACATTGTAAGTATAAATAGGTATTTCTAGCCTAGATGTAGGGATTCCATTTAAGTACATTTTATTTGTTCTGTCTCCACAGACTCAGTATTCATTTAAGCAAGTATTTGGTACTCACACAACCCAAAAGGAGCTTTTCGATGTTGTGGCTAATCCCTTAGTAGATGACCTCATTCATGGCAAAAATGGTATGTTTCTTGGAGTTAAGTTAGATTTTCCTCTCTCTCCTGATAAAGCTTTTGATATTTATATATTTGTTTTATGCTTTGCATTAAACTCAGATTTAATTTGTTAGAGTGATAGTGGACCTGTTTTTCTTGAGCTGGTTAATTTTAGTGTCTTTAATATAAAATGTTACAAGTGGAGAACTTCAAGATATAACTCATTGTGACTTTACTGTACTCTAGGTCTTCTTTTTACATACGGTGTGACAGGGAGTGGAAAAACTCACACAATGACTGGTTCTACAGGGGAAGGAGGGCTCCTTCCTCGGTGTTTGGACATGATCTTCAATAGTATAGGGTCGTTTCAAGCTAAACGATATGTAAGTATGATTCTTTTGTGTTGTAAGTATTTCACTGCAGACTCAAGACTAAGACACCTAAGGACATAATAGTATTAAGGAAAAAAACAAAGTGTTGGAGCCATTTTTAAACCTTAAATATGTTTAAATATTAAATACTTCTTATTTCTTAAATGTGTTTCTTACTGTTTAAGTCAAATTCTAAAAAACATGGTCTAATTTTCACCCTTACTTCAGGTTTTTAAATCTAATGATAGAAATAGTATGGATATACAGTGTGAGGTTGATGCCTTATTAGAACGTCAGAAAAGAGAAGCCATGCCCAATCCAAAGACCCCCTCTAGCAAGTAAGTAATTATATTTGTATGTAGCACTGGCCCAGTGGACACAGGGTTCTTTCCTGTGGTTTCTGCAGGCCTGGGGAATGGTGAACATGTAGATAAGTTGGTCTGACAGTTGACCTTTTTTCGGTGGTGGGGCCATTACTGGGGTTTGAACCTAGGATCCTCTATCAGTGAGCTCCACCCCCAACCCTTTTTATTTTCTATTTTGAAACAGTCTTGCTAAGGTGTCCAGATTGGCCTTGAATTTGTAGTCCTTGCCTCCTGATACACTGGGTTTGCTGGCATGTGGCAGTGTGCCTGGCCTGACAGTTGACCTCTGTGAGGTCAAAATTAAGAAGTGTTCTTAAGTTAGATTTGTGTTTTAAGAATAACATGAGAGTCACTGTTTTGAAATGTGCCTCTCTGGAGAGGGTTAAAGCTTATGGATAATCTGGGAGGATACAGGGGTAGTGTTTTTGGCAGTCTTTGAGTATGAATAAAATTGCTTTGTGCATATCTGCTTTGATGACAAATCATTTGTGTTCTTTTTTTTAGATGTTGATGGGCCTTTATTTTATTCATTTATTTATATGCGGTGCTGAGACTCAAATCCAGTGCCTCATATATGCTAGACAAGTGCTCTGCCACTGAGCCACAACCCCAGCCCCTGTATTAAATCTTTTAGTTTCCCCTTGGGATTGTTTACTTTTGATAATTACACTGGATAAAATCACTCTTTTTGGTTTTTTTGTTTTGTTTTTTATATTTTAGGCGACAAATAGATCCAGAGTTTGCAGATATGATAAACGTCCAAGAGTTCTGCAAAGCAGGAGAAGTTGATGAAGATAGCGTCTATGGTGTATTTGTCTCCTATATTGAAATATATAATAATTACATATATGATCTGTTGGAAGAGGTACCATTTGATCCTATCAAACCCAAGTAAGTAGTAAAAAGAGCCCCCTGTTTTAGCTATTAACCTTGGGGAAGTGACTGTACCCCAAAGAGCTTTTGATTCTTCAGCTATTAATGAGGATATTTGCACTTATTTTCAGGATGAAGTGAAATAACTTATTTATTAAGTAGTTAGTATTCAATGAGTGTTTTTATCATTAACTAAATAGTAGTGGGTTAAGGCATCAGGAGAGTGTGTCCTGAACATTCATTGAGAAAGTATTCCTGTTGGTGCGCTCTGGGGCTAGCCTCTTCAGACATCTCTTGTGTTCTCTACATGTTCTCTACAGATCGGATCCTGGAGCTGTTGTCTGCACAAGTAGTTCTCAGACCATCCTTCATTAATATGAAGTGACGTTGCATTGTATTGCTGCCAGTCAAAAGGCTACACCTTAGATTTCCTTGGGTCTTGCCTTCTGGCATCACAAGTTTGCATTTGTGCCAGGGTTGACTAAGGAATCTGTGTCTAATATCAGTGTATTGTTCCTGAATTGATGGTTTTGTTCTTTAGCTAAAGGTTGATCTTCAAAGCTGTATTCATTAGGGCCTTCCAGGACATAAATAATATGAAGGCCTGTATTTTACACATAATTTTCATATGTCTAATGGAACATTGGAGAAATAGCTGGATTTAGAAAACTATTAGACTGAGCACAGGTGTCATTATATCCATTTATATGAAAGTGTATAAACTCTGTTGAAGGGGGTATACTTGATGAAAATATTTCTGTGGTTCTTCCTGAACCATATTTTGATGGAGGAGCCTCATTCTGAATCTTTGAGTTTCACAAGGATTGTAAAAACAATTACAAAGTTGCTAAGCAAACTGAATATCACAGTGTTAATTCTGTAAGTTTTCTGTGAAGGAAGACTGCCCAGTTTTCTTTTGCTCTACTTTTCCCTTCCTCAGTTGAGAATTATACAAAAGGATTGATTTCTGGAGTCACCTGTCTTTATGTTCCCTTGAAATGTTGGTATTAAAAAATACTTGGGTTTGGTTAGAGAGAGAAAAATGAAAGGGTAAAGACCTTACAGGACAATCGCTTTTTATATCTAATAACTTTTCCGTTTTGTTAGTTACTTCCTCATTTGCTTCAAACTATGAGTTGTCTTGACTCTGGTTTTGAGTGTGCCTATTTTCCCGAGTTTCTGTCATGTCTTTCATTGCCTCCGATAACTTTCATATATGGGCATGTGCCAAGTTTTTATTGGTCTGTTTTAATTGAGATTGCTTTTAAATGATTTTATCTTGTGCTATGTACCTTGTTGCCTTCCTTGTACCTCCTTGAATGAACTTATAAAGGTGCTTAATTGGCACTAAATTCTGATATGTTATTGTGGCGTTAGGACTGCTTTTTTTTGAGCCCTTCACTTTTAGTGGTCTTTAATGCAAAGAAAAAAATATAAAATTATAAGTGGAGGGTTTTAAATATATGACTCTTGTGACTGTCATGTAGTCTGGACTGACCATGTTGCTGAGAGGTGGCTGCAGTAGAAACAGTAACTTCTTACTCCTTTGCTAGGTGGAACACTTGCAGCACACCCATGAGGAACACAGAATTTATGTATGTGATGGGATTGGCTCTTTTCTTAAGGAGAAGGGTATAGTTATATTAGTGGTTGGCATCTGTAGCATGTTTGCATGTAGGTTGCTTTTCATTGGCTCTGGGCTGACTGCTACCTCAAGCCGTCCTTGCTTCTAGAAAAGTCTGCTACTGACTATCAGTGATGTTAGCTGTTATGTCTCTACTCTTACCATTCACAAGACTGCATCTAAATGGTACTCTTACTCAGCCCTCATACCATACAGACTAAAACTTGACAAGCCACTTTGAAAAAATTGTCATTCCTGATATATACCGAACTCTTTATGAATTTGTTTTCTGCTGTTGCTGCAAAGGTCAATTCTATCTGCTGATCTTTTTAGATTAGGAAAATACTAAATTGTGATGCTTAACCTATGCATGTGATATTGCTTTAATACTACTATGGTTTTTTAATTGTTGGTTTAAGTGTTGTTTCATGTGCTTTGTTAGGGTAAACTAGAACAAAGCTTTTAAAACAAAATTGGTTCCTATTTGGTTATGTAACTAATCTTGACTGTATATCTTTGTAATTTATTTGCATTAATTATTTGTCTGGGGTCTTAAGTAGGCTTATCTCATTAAAAATGTGTGTTGTATCTTGGCATTTTAGTTCTGGTCTTAAGTGAATACCTTAGATTCTCATAATTTAGGAAGCTAACCTTTTTTTCTTTGCCATAGACTTCCACAATCTAAAATGCTTCGAGAAGATAAGAACCATAACATGTATGTTGCAGGATGTACAGAAGTAGAAGTGAAATCTACTGAGGAGGCCTTTGAAGTTTTCTGGAGAGGTTAGAGTTAGAAAAATATAAAATGATGGATTAGCTCTAAGAATGATTACTATAATTTGACCAAGTCTTTTTTATTAGAAAGCATGTATAATGAAATGTTTGAATTCTAGTATAATCAATGATTTCTCTGCCATCATAGGTCAGAAAAAGAGACGTATTGCTAATACCCATCTAAATCGGGAATCCAGCCGTTCCCACAGTGTGTTCAACATTAAATTAGTTCAGGCTCCCTTGGATGCAGATGGAGACAATGTCTTACAGGTAAAGTTATAATGTCAAGAGTTTGTCTTGTACTAACTCAGTCCTTAGTTTTTTGGAATTACAATTAAATTAGGGAGGTATAATTGCAATGAACGTTGCTCCAAAATTAATATATAGGTAGCTAACGATATCAAAAATGTTGTTGTTTGTTTTTTCCTATTAGTATAGTTTTGGGAAACTGCCTGTTGAACCTGAAATTTTGCTGTGGAAGGGGTTTACAAATCTTAAAATATATATTTTAAAATAAGAAGAGAGCACCATTGATTGTTTTATCTCTGATTTTACTTTGTATGCGTAAATTCAGTTAATGGTTTTTAAATGTCAGCAGTTCACTTTTTAGGGCAGGCACACTTCAATAGGTGGCCAGGGTTCTGAATTGCTCACCTCTTGGTAGATAGGCCACCAGTTGATCTCTAGACCTGTGGTGCTGTCAGACTTATGTTGGTTCTAAACATTGTTTGAGCCCTAGTGCACATAATTTAATAACTTAAAGCTATTAAAATGTAATCATATTCAGACTCTAATTTTGAAGGTTTGTGGATGGCAGCAGAAGGTGCTGCTGAGGAGCACCAGGATTTGAATTCTAAGTTTTATTTATTTGCTATCTCTGACCTATCATAGAAGTTACTCATAGGGTTGTGAGACTTAAGGGAGGTAATGATGTAAAGGTCTCAGTCCAGTGTTTGGCTTATGGTCACCACTTTATAAATGCCAGCTAGAAATTGGTTATAAATAAACCGTTTGTGTATACTTGATTTCCTTTGAATTATTATTATTTTTTGGTATAAGGAATTTAAATTCTAATATCATAATATCAATTAGGTACCTCTTGACTTTAATTCTTTCATTTCTTTTTATAAAAATTATTTAGAATACTGTGAAATTATTAGATTATTAAATACTTGGTACTACTTTTTTTGGTTTTTTTCCCCTTTTGATGGTGGTGCTGGGAATGGAACTCAGTGCCTCATACATGTTAGGCAAGCATTCTATCATTGAGCTACATCCCCAGCCCTCGGTTATTAAAACCTGACTATAGAAAATTTTAAGATAGTTCTGCTCTAGACTAAAATTTTAAGATAGTTCAGCAGGTATTTATTGAGTTCCTCCTGAGAGCTCAGCATTGTACAGGGTACTGGAGACAAAGTGGTAAAAAAGGCAGAGAATCCCTGTTCTTTGCAAGCTTATGGCTTGATGCACAAGGAAGAACAGACAACATTAAGATCACTTAATGTCATGAATATATTCATATTTAGTAACTTTCTAAAACACATATCTTCTGTCCCTCCTGTGCATTTTGTATTATACAAATATTCATTAAGACATAATAACTTGTTGGCTTGATTCTATTTAAAGAATTATAAACCAGTTTTAACTTATTTTAGGTCATTGACTTTGTGATCTCTTTCAGGAAAAGGAACAAATCATTATAAGCCAGTTGTCCTTGGTAGATCTTGCTGGAAGTGAAAGAACTAACCGAACTAAAGCAGAAGGGAACAGGTTGCGTGAAGCTGGTAAGTAAAAACATAGTACTTATGTATTGCTACAGCTTTTGAAAATTTGCAATGTCAGCTTATTATTTGTTTAGGAGTGAATGATTCAAGCATGATTATCTTTAGTTTAGAGAATATAGATTGATACTAAACCAGTATAACTAAAGAAATAGCATTGACCATTAAACTGAGCCTCTAAATTAATCTAAATCATCTGTCTGATGAAAACATGATTGAATTAGGTGACCTTAATCAGGGTTCCAAAATGTACACATTCTGATGCACTTTGAGGGAAGATCTGCATTTTTGGAGGCTTAATCAAGCCTTTGGGCTGTCTTGACTGATCCAATTAAGATTGGTCATAAAGTCTGCTGCTTAAGAAATCCTTGTAGAGATGTAGAAGGGACAGAGTTAGCTCCTAAGACACTAGCCTGACTGTAAGAAACATGCTCTCTGGGTACAGGAAGGGTCAGACCCTGGGATGGAGCAAGTTGAGGCCTGAAATGGTCATGCTTTGGAGAAAATATTTTAATATGAGTTTTGCAATGTCTGCATCTGACATGCTCTTTCACAGGATTTGGAAGAAACTATGGGCATAAAGTGTAATGTTATATTTGCTGGAAATTCTTTTAATAGAATCCCTGAAGTTCCCCTTTTTAACCTATGTAGAAATAGTACTACTGAAAGACAGCCTGAGCCATGATGGGCAGCTCTTTAGATGAAGCCATGAAAATTTGCAATTTCCATCTAATAGTTACGTGAAGTTGAGATTATATAGGCAAACAGAACATACTTTAGCTACTATATTGTGTGTCCTCCCCATCCCAATATCTTCTGTGTTTATTTTTCTATCAGGTAACATTAATCAGTCACTAATGACACTAAGAACATGTATGGAAGTTCTGAGAGAGAACCAAATGTATGGAACTAACAAGGTGAGCAGCAGCCTTTATTTGTTACTTGTATAGATTTATTTGTGTGGGATTTTTGTCTTATGAATTTACATTTGCATGTATTTATAGATGGTTCCATATCGAGATTCAAAGTTAACCCATCTGTTCAAGAACTATTTTGACGGGGAAGGAAAAGTACGAATGATTGTGTGTGTGAATCCAAAGGCGGAAGACTATGAAGAAAGCTTGGTAATTTTAACTTATTTATCATATAAAGTCAAATTTCCCTAGGAAAAGCAGTTATTTGGATGTGAAGAATGAGATTTTGAACATTTTATAAATTAATACAGAAACAATGGGTACAGAAGTTTACTAATAACCAACCTATTATTGCTTCATTTAGTCATTTATGAAGAATGACTTGGATATGCTTATTTTTCACAAACTCCATTTGTTTTATATTTTAGCAAGTCATGAGATTTGCAGAAGTGACCCAAGAAGTTGAAGTAGCTAGACCTGTAGACAAGGTGATATGTGGTTTAACCCCTGGGAGACGATATAGAAACCAGGCTCGAGGAGGCCCAGTTGGAGATGGTATGATTTGGTACATTTACCCAATGATCTGTTCTAATTTTAAAAAAATCTATTTCACATAAGAAAACTTTTTATATCCCTTCTTCTCAAGAACCAAATGCAAAAAACTTTGAACCAAAATATAAATGATATTTCTTTTGTTGCATTCTCTCTCATTTTTAAGAAAGTAAGATGAGGCTGGGGCTGTAGCTCAGTGGTAGACTGCCTCACACCTGCCTCGCATGTGTGAGGTAATGGGTTCGAGCCTCAGCGCCACATAAAAATAAATAAACAAAGATATTGTGTCCGTACAATTAAAAAAATATATGACAACTCAAGAAATTCCGTGGTTAATTGTTCTGGGGCTCTAGTCATAGTATTAAACTCGCTTAATATCTTTTTCTATTGTGTAACTTTTAAATTTTTTTGTAATTCAATACAGAACCATTGGTTGCTGAAGTGGTTTTACAGAGTTTCCCACCTTTGCCGTCATGTGAAATTTTGGATATCAATGATGAGCAGACCCTTCCAAGGCTGATAGAAGCCTTGGAGAAGCGGCATCACCTGCGACAAATGATGATTGATGAGTTTAACAAGCAATGTAAGGGCAGATCTGTGTGCAGTCATTTTAACTTCAGAAATTGAAAGAGTTTGTAATGGGCCTAAGTTTTGTAGAAGAATGCAATTGTTAAAAATTTTTTTAATTTTTAAAATTTGATATATATGATAACAGAATGTATTACAATTCATATTACACATATAGAGCACAATTTTTCATATGACACTAAGAACATGTATGATTGTACACATAGTAGAGTCAAAACCTTCATGTCTTCTTACATGTACTTAGGGTAATGATGACCATTGCATTCCACCGTCTTTCCTACCTCTATACCCCTCCCTTCCCTTTTCCCCTTGGCCCTATCTGGAGTTCATTTACCGCCGCGCCTGGGCCACGCCCCGGCCACGCCCCCCCCCCAATATTATGGGTCAGCATCCTTAAATCAGATAAATCATTTGGCATTTGGTTTTTTGGGACTGGCTAATTTCACTTAACATTATATTCTCCAGCTTCATCTATTTACCTGCAAATACCATGATTTTATTCTCTTTTAATGCTGAGTAATATTCCATTGCATTATACACCATATTTTCTTTATCCATTCATCTACTGAAGGGCATCTAGGTTGTTTCCACAGTTTAGCTATTGTGAATTGTGCTGCTATAAACATTGATGTGGCTGTGTCCCTGTAATATGCTGTTTTTAAGTCCTTTGGGTATAGACGGAGGAGAGGGATTGCTGGGTCAAATGGTGGTTCCATTCCCAGTTTTCCAAGGATCCTCCATACTGCTTTCCATGTTGGCTACACCAATTTGCAATCCCAACAGCAATGTATGAATGTGCCTTTTTCCCCTCAAGTAGGATGCATTTTTAAGGAAGAATTTATCTCTATATTTTGTAGTACTCAAGTCATTGTATAATTAGAGTGACAGGAATTTTTTCCAAACCAAAGAAAAAGTTGGTCTGCCCCCTCCTTTTACTGTCAGTGATGGCCAGAAAGGAATATTTCTTAATTTCTCTGCCTACAAAATGGGGATTGTAGTTGTTTCTACCTCAGGAAGTTGTGAGGTAAAAGAGATAATGTGTGAAAGTCTTGAAGAACAGTGAATTGCCTTGCACACAGTAAATGAATGTATCTGAGTAACCAGCCCGGGTCCTAACTGGCAAGTGGTGTACCACGGATTTCAGTTCAAGTCCAGCTCTCTCAAATCTGGTATTATTTCCATCTTTGCCTACAAAGGCAAATACATATGTATTTACCTGGAAGTGTTAAGAGGGGGATACTACAGTGCAAAATGAAAGACTTTTTTCTGTATTAAACAGTTCTATGAACATCTCTTACAGATTTGAGTAACAGGCTCCTTATTTCTTTCCAAACTTGTTTTCTCCTTGTAGATGATTCTCACAGATTTGCTGAATAGCTCTGTTTTATCTAGTATCTGCTAAGAGAAGTAGATTTCCTTGGTTATTTTGCAATTGGAGTAAAACAGCCTGCATGCTTTTGTTTCAGCTAATACTTTTAAAACTTTGTTACAAGAATTTGACAATGCTGTTTTAAATAAAGAAAATTACGCTCAAGGAAAACTAAATGAAAAAGAAAAGGTGATCTCAGGACAGAAATTGGAAATAGAACGACTGGAAAAGAAAAATAAAACTTTGGAATATAAGGTTTGTGTTATTATAATGTTATAAGTGTTGGTCATTCAGCTCTGGTCTGATTGACTGTTTCTGCTCCATGTACCTGTCGTTGCTTATTAAGTTATCATTTGATTATTTGCTATTATTCATCTATCATTTGGTTATTACTATCTTTATCCCACCCCAAAGAGGAGGAAATGTGAATGAAAAGCATAGAAAGGAGAAAAGAAATAGTGTACTCTTATGTTAGAGGTAGCCATTGAAGAGAATGTTCTGTGACCCAAACAAGTATAAGTGAACTTACAGAGTTCAGCTATGGGATAGAGCTTTTCAATTTATTATAAATATTTCCTCCATATGCTTTAAAAAAAAAGTTGAAATAAATGATTAAATGAGATAATATAAAGGTGCCAGAATGGTGCCTTGGATATAATGCATACTCAGTGAATGTTTTTTGTTTTTTTTTTTTTTTGGTTGTTCAAAACATTACAAAGCTCTTGACATATCATATTTTATACATTTGATTCAAGTGGGTTATGAACTCCCCTCAGTGAATGTTAATTGGATCTGAATTTGGTTTACAAGTCATATTGTAAAAAAGAGTACAAACTTCCTGTGGGGTAGAAGGAAAAACAGTCCTATTGGGGTGCATTGCCATGCTGTGTAATGTTTAGTTCACTCATTTACAGAGATTACTTAAAGGTTTGGGGGAGTTTACGTGCATACTAGAGATAAATGAGTCTTAACCAATAGTGTTCACTATACAACAGTTTTCTCTGAAAACAGCCTAAGAAATTAGAGTTTTAGGCCTTAGTTTTAGAGGAAAAGAATTTTCACCTGAAGTTAGCTATAGTTTTGTCTTTTGGTAAGGAATTTGTATAATAAGTTCTTACTTCCAGAAATGGAGCTGGGAATTCAGATGTACTTTCTTGAGAAAGATTATTTTATGGCTACATAAAATGTCTGTATACCAAATATAAAATGTGTTGGTCTACCTTCCCAGATTGAGATTTTAGAGAAAACAACTACTATCTATGAAGAAGATAAACGCAATCTACAACAGGAACTTGAAGCCCAGAATCAGAAACTTCAAAGACAGTTTTCTGACAAACGCAGATTAGAAGCCAGGTTGCAAGGCATGGTGACAGAAACAACAATGAAGTGGCAGAAAGAATGTGTGAGTGTCATTCTTATAGTGTTTATCTTAGAATTGGATGATTTTTTTCAAATTGTAGTTAGCCAAGTAAATTACTGCACTTATGGTGGACTTGGTGGTATTTGCTCATCTTGGAAGTATTGAAGAACTGTCATGTTTTAGGAAATTAAGTAATTTGGTGCATTTTCTGGTGTGACTGAACTAGAATATAAATCGCCATTGGTAATCTGTAGGAACGTCGAGTGGCGGCCACCCAGCTGGAGATGCAGAATAAACTCTGGGTTAAAGATGAAAAACTGAAACAGCTGAAGGCTATTGTTACTGAACCCAAAACTGAAAAACCTGAGAGACCCTCTCGGGAGCGGGATCGAGAGAAAGTTACTCAAAGATCTGTTTCTCCATCATCAGTGCCTGTAAGTTTCCTATAGTGGTATCGTAGCTTAGTGCTAGAAAAATTCTATGAGAATTTACTTTTTTGTTTTATATTATTTATTATATTTCTTAAACTTAATCTTAAAACTTTTTAAATCTAGTATAAACATTAATGTAGTACAAAAAATTCAATAACAGTGCAAGTACTTATAATGTTAAATCTTCATATGCTAAAATTATAGAAAAGTATTGAATTGTTTCTCTCCAGTTTTCAGTCTTACTCATTAATTTCTCTTCAATTTTTCTAGCTTTCTAGTAACTATATTGCTCAGATTTCCAACGGCCAGCAACTCATGAGCCAGCCACAGCTACATAGGCGCTCTAACTCTTGCAGCAGCATTTCTGTAGCTTCCTGTATTTCGGAATGGGAGCAGAAAATTCCTCCGTACAACACACCTGTCAATGTTACATCTATTGCAAGGCGTAGGCAGCAGGAGCCAGGACAAAGTAAAACTTGTATCGTGTCAGACAGAAGGCGAGGGATGTACTGGACTGAAGGCAGGGAGGTGGTTCCTACATTCAGAAATGAGATAGAAGTAGAAGAGGATCATTGCTGCAGGGTTAGTTCCAGTATTATTTTAAAGCATTACAATAATAGATTTTATTTCTTTTGGTTTTTTATAACTGTTCCAGAAGTTCCATGGAAAGATGAATGGGCTCCAACATGAACAAGGTCTAAATTTTCTGTCACTTAATTTGAAAGATTGAATCACCCTGAAATTGAACATGAGCTCTTTATTGGAAAAAGCCTAAACACATCTGACAACAGAAGTAATGCCCTATGAGTTCATGAATGCAGGCCAGTATGGCTCATCCCAGGGTAGTCTGTGCTTTGTTGCACAGAATTGGAGAGCACCTGCTCTACCATGAGCTGCACCCCAGCCCAAATATGGATGTCTTAGTATATACTTTTCATTTTTTTCTTTTAGTTCCTTTCCTCAGATTTAACTACACTTTTTCATACAAACAAAAAAAGTTCAAAAAATGGTATAGTAACTTCTTTTCCCCCTTACCTAGACCTAACACTTGTTATTTTATGTAAACATGTTTTTCCCATGAATCTTTTTTCAAAGTAATAGGCTTTTTTCCCCTAAAAAATAAGGATAATGTCCTGTGTAACCACAATCTTTATCATACCTATGGAAGTGAATGAACATTAATTGACTAAATATCCTCTAATTTCCCCAGTTGTCTCAATGATAGCTATTCTTTTTAATCTGTAATAATATTATCAAGGTGAATATATTGCATGTGGCAATTATATTTTAAATCTCTTTTAATATAAAATGATTCCCCCTTTGATTTTTTTATGACATTGGCTGTTTTGAAGAGTCTAGTTCAGTTGTTTTGAAACTACTCAGTTTTCCTGTCCAATAAATAGCTTTTAATATCCAAGCCTTTGTCACAAGTTACAAGGACTTTGTTTCACTAAAGGGTATTTAAAATTAATTCACTTTCATATTTTTCTTTTAAAGATGAGTGCCTTTGAATCTGAATAAATGGCCAAATTAATATTGTGAATTAAATTTAGTAAAATCTTCACATAACTCTTTTAGTATTTTTCTTCTGAGGAAATTTTAACTTATAGTAAGTATGCTTTAGATTTTCAATGCATAGTTTGGGGTATAGCTGAGTGCAGTGGTACATGCCTATCATACCAGGGACTTAGAGGATTGCAAGTTTGAGTCCAGCCTCACCAATTGAGCAAGACCCTGTCTCAAAACAAAAAAAGAAAAAAAGAAAGAAAGAAAAGAAAAACAATCCGGGGCTGGGGTTATGGCTGAGTGGTAGAGCGCTTGCCTACATATGTGAGGCACTGGGTTTGATCCTCAGCACCACATAAAAATAAATGAATAAAATAAAGGTATTGTGCCCATCTATAACAAAAAAAGTGTTTTTTAAAAAATGAAGAAAAGCAAAACAACCAAAAAAATGACTGGGGATATAGCTCAATGGTAAAGTACCCATGGGTTCAATCCCCAGCACACACACCCTAAAAAAAAAAAAAAAGTAATAATTTAGGGTATAGATGAAAATTCATTTAGGTGGCCTGCATTCCTGATTACTAATGGATGGTGACATAGCCCAAGATATTGATCAAGGCTACAGATAATTCTAGTCTCTTTAGTTCTTACTCTGCAGATTTTGCCTTGTCTTTATGGGAGCAAATCATGGTGAATGGTCTTTCTGATCAACTCTAGTCAATCCCCTTATTTCATGAATGTTTATAAACCAAAAACCATTCAAAGCTTGTTTACACCTGGTCAGCAGTAATGAATTATCTAATTTGAGAATGAAATACTTAAGAGGATTTACTAGAGATACTTTGACTTCTCACTTGAAATCAAAATCTCTTTAGAAGTGCAGCAGAAAAGTTACTCTTAGGTTGGTATCGGTGTGTCCAGGTTTATTGGTCAGGTGGACTGAACTTTACTTTAGTGAGGAAAAAAATTTAAAATGTCTGTCTTGAACACTAATAGATTATATGGACCATCATCTTTGCAAGCCTTTTTCAGGATGTATTATTGATAAATATGTTCAAGAAGACCCACTTCTATACTTACCTGGCAGGGGAGATACCATGATCACGAAGGTGGTTTTCCCAGGGCGAGGCTTATCCATTGCACTCCGGATGTGCTGACCCCAATTTAAAAAAAAAGAAAACTCACTTTTGCTAAATGGTAGATCCTAAGAGCCAGTCTTTCTTGTTCAATATTAATCAGAGCATTTCAAGAATGGAAAGTTTCTTGCCTGAGTTAACTCAGCAGCATCTTTAGCAGCAAATTATATTGACCATTCTATATATAAAATATATGGTATTTATACCATGTTTATCATATGTATAGTATATAACTAGAATTGTCACTACCTACTTCATTTGTTTCTTGTAATTACATAGGGAAAATGATTTAGTTCTTCAGATGTGCATTTTGAAATTGATCTTCATACTTGACCAGCTTTGAAGAATTTGGTCTATGGTAGACTTTTTTCCATTGCTTTCAATTTTATAAATGGGAGATTTCACAAAATTACTTAACTGTAATAACTGTCATGTATGTAACTTTACTACTAGGTTTATATGGCATTTGAATGGAAGCAACTAGTTTTTGTTGTATGGTAGAAACTGATTTGACACTGTATTTTTTATTTGATTCTTGGAACCTTTAGAAATGTTTTGGGAAAAAGTTAAGTTTTAGCCATTATTGTATTTGAACTTTCAAGAAGTTGTTTTGAGATATTTTAACTCAGTAGTTTACATTGTTTTAACATGTTTTGCATGAGGTTCTTATTATACCTTGCTTTCTTTAGTATTTAGCTATTTAAAGCTTTATCAGCTGTAATTTTTTTGCCTCTGTATAAGGAGTGTTTTCTTTAGATGCCTAGGAGATGTTTAGGGATTTTATTGATGATATCAATGCTTTCAGCAAAGTTGCTGATCTAATAGATTGCCTCTCAAAAGCAGACATAAATACTGATTTTTGATCAAGAATGTAATATGAATTGTTTTTCTTGAACAGGGAGAATTAGCAGCATTGCCAGATTTTTTTCTTTTCATCCTCTGTTGAAAGGGAAGCTCCCAGGTAGAATATGTAATACACAAGCTGCTATTAAAAGATGTTTGTAGGTTTTGTGTTTTAAGTACAAAGAGAATGTTTAAATTACTTAGATAACCTTTAGCTTTTGAAAAGATTTGACTTGATACTGTCATAAAATAACAGACAAACCTGCTGCACTTCTAGCAGTACCCTTAAATTAATTCTGGGTTATGCTTGTTTCTCAATTCCTCTTTCAACCTGATCAGAACGCACCACCAATCCGTCTCAGACACAGACGATCACGCTCTGCAGGGGACAGATGGGTAGATCATAAGCCCGCCTCTAACGTGCAAACTGAAACAGTCATGCAGCCACATGTCCCTCATGCCATCACAGTATCTGTTGCAAATGAAAAGGCACTAGCTAAGTGTGAGAAGTACATGCTGACTCACCAGGAACTAGCCTCCGATGGGGAGATTGAAACTAAACTAATTAAGGTAAAAATGAATTTACACAGGAGAAAAAAATATTTTAAAAAATCATCTTAACAAGAACTATTTGCTCTTTTACTCCCTTGATGTCACAGTCTGTGTCAATTGAAACATTAGTGGGCATCTGATGTAACTTTTTTATTAGCAGAAAATTAACTGCTTAGGTTACAAATCTGCTAAACTGGGACTAAATCTGATTAAACAGGCATAGATTCTTGGGTTTCTTAGAATTCCAGATCCATAATATACTTTATATTTAGCTTTAACTTATACAAAAAAGTAAACCTAAATGACAAACTCTTACCTTTGCTGTCAGTTCAAGATTAAAAAAAAAAACCTACAATAAAATTTGACTTGTGAAAATTACTCAATATTGAGCTACTTAAAGCCCTTTCCCAGAAAGAGACTTGCCCACTTGTAAGAGAATTTTTCTTTGATCATGGAGTCAGTGAATAATTAGGGAAGGAAAAGACAAGACTGTGAGGGAAAAGCTTTTCATCTCAAATTCAGTTTAGAGGGTAGTTACAAATAAGATTGTACTTTGTGTGGATAGAGGGCACACCAGAGGAGAAAATTCAGTGTCTAAGAACATGTAAAAATTCCTGACAGATTTCTTGATCTTTGGTAAAGTTTAGGTTTTAAAATATAAGTAAAAAATAACTTTTTCCCCCACAACTATGAATGTTATTGATCATATTGTACTTCTTAAAATGAGATATATTCAAATTTCTAATGTTTTGATTAGTATAGATTCAGCATTCCATCTGTTTGTGGGTGGGAGTTTCCATTATACATGTGTGTTTATGGTTTGGATGTATCAAAGTATAATAGTGACCTTTTCTCTTGGCTTTAGGGAGATGTTTATAAAACAAGGGGTGGTGGACAATCTGTTCAGTTTACTGAGATTGAGACCTTGAAACAAGAATCACCAAGTGGGTGAGTGATCACCAATGATGTCTCTTTAAAGGGCTGTTGTTTGCTTAGCTGCTCATTCTTGATGGACAGAATATCCTGTGAAGTTTATCATTAATTCTCAAAAGGGGTATAGATGGTTTTCCCTATTTCTAATATTTTTCTTGTTCTTAGATGCAAAAATAATTGTTGCATCATGTTTCCCCTTTTTTAGTAGTCGAAAACGAAGATCGTCCACAGTAGCACCTGCCCAACCAGATGGTACAGAGTCTGAATGGACCGATGTAGAAACAAGGGTAGGGGTAAAAATTAAATATTTGCTTGCTAAAAATTAGGCATGTCATGTTTTAAACTCTGCAACTATAGCTCTATGCTCTGAGAAGATGCTGAGGCACCATATCCTGTTGCCAGTATAGCCTAGAGGCCTGTTCCTAACACATTTGCAGGGCATTTGCATTTCTTTAGTTCTGGTCTTACTAGAGCTTTCAGTTCAGAACCCCAGTTTTCAGTATAGGGGGATAAGAGTTAAAGATCAGGCCAAGGCAGGCGTGATGTTGCACACCTATAATCTCTGCTACTTGGGAAGCTGAAGCAAGATCACCACAAATCCAAGGCCAGTCTTGGCAGCTTAGTGAGACCCTGTCTTAAAATAAAAGGTTTGGGATTATAGCTCAGTGGTAGAGCACCCTGGGTTCAATTCCCAGTACCAGCAAAAAAATAAAAAAGAAAAAGAAAGAAAGAAAGGAAAGAATCAAGCCAAAGGAGCCAAGCATGGTGGTGCATGCTTATAATCCAAGCTACCCAGAAGGCTGAGACAGGAGGATTGCAGCCTGGGCAACATAGCAAGACTCCACCTCAAAACAAAACAACAAAAAACATTGAGCCGAAGAGTATCACTTGGGAATAACGGCAGATGGATGGGAGTTTCCTTAGAAGCAGCTTGTCAGGTGTTCCTTCTTGACTGTTATCCCTCAGGAGAGGGAAGGAAGGTGGGGGTCAGGAGGCCATGCTCTCACTCTGGCCACTGACTTCTCAAGAACTCCTCTTATCTAAAATGAGAGGAAGTTACCTGGAGAACCTTCGAAGACTTTCCAGCTCCCAGTATTTGTGGCCTATGCCAGAAGTAATCTCAAGTGTGTGTCTGTGTCTCTGTCTAATCCAAATGTCTTTGCTGAACTAGAGAGCAATGTTGGCTTTCACCTTGGAGAGCCCATCTAAACAGGTATGTTTATAGACTGTTAAGAGGAGCTAACCTTTTCCTCTTTTGTCACTTTCCTTTCAGTGTTCCGTGGCTGTGGAGATGAGAGCAGGATCTCAGCTGGGACCTGGATATCAGCATCACGCGCAGCCTAAGTGAGCACTGTGGCTGGCCCTGCTCTGTGTCCTCCTCTGCTAGAATTTCCACCTCAGCACCCTCCTAACAGTTCCCTTGGTTTCAAGAGCAGATGTGGATTTGAGTTTCTCTTGGGATTGTGTGGGTCTTCTTGGCAGCCTGCAGTAGGCATCCGCATGCTGAGCACCTGAGAGGGCTATTGACACCATTAGAGCGGCAAGGGCAGGAGGTGATAGGAGACCGGTGACTCTTGTTCGTATTCTACCACTGCTCCTAAAGCTTTCTGAGGCTGAACTGAGCACCTGGGAGGAGGAAGGACTGAAGACTTTAGTTGGGGATAATGGCTTTGTGTGGTTTTCTTTTCCTGGCTGGCTTCTTGCTCTTCATATAGGAGTGAGTGTTCACGAATAAATAAATTAAATGAAAGGCCCAAATTCATGGTAGAAAACAATCACTCTTTCCTCTTCTATCAAATATTTCCTAGGGAATCTGACCTATTCTTTTCTCCTATTTTAGTAAAACCCCTTCTTTACAAATATCTATCTTTATAACATTTATAACCCTTGGGTTCCTAAGGCAATTTGAAAAATTGTTTCAACAGGGTAAGGATGGGAAATCCTGTTTTCTATAATAACTGCTTTCTCAGAAGGACTTGAATTTTTTTTTAAGATTTGTTTGTCATAAATATGTAACTAATTGCAAAATTCAACACTAAATGCTGGTTTTTATGTTTTAGGCGCAAGAAGCCATGAACTGACGGTCCCAGTAGTAAAAGAACATTGTCGTTTGTGTTGGTAATTTCAAAGCCATGCCAGAAGCAGTCTTGAGACATCTTGTAGAATTCCAGCTTTGTGGAACATCACAGACCTCAGCTATATCATACACTGGCCTAGAACAAAGTTTCCCCTTTGGATCCAAAGACCTCTGATTCAGCAAACTTTGTATATTAAATACCTTGCCATATTTAATATTAATAGAAGACCCCCCCTCCATTTTCTCATGGCTGTATGAACTCTTTTTATAATACTATTTTTTTTGTACATTTCTTGTATACTTATGAACTCTAATTCAAGCAAGTGTTTGTCTTGGGTAATTAAGGAAGAATATATCTAGACCATACTTTATTTTTTATTCTGATCTTTTTCAGCTGTGGTCTGAGTATTTCTTAAAGGTTTTATAAGCAAAACAAATGCTGCTATTTATTAGCTGCAAGAATGCACTTTAGACATACTGGACAATTCAGACTTTCAGAATAAAGATGTCAGTGACTGGCTATCAATAAAACCATTTTTAAAAGTTGTCTACAATTTTGTATGTATATATATTCACTTTCTGACAGATAAGTCAAAAGAACTGAAATAAAAGGCACTGAGAAATACAAGGTTGTATGGTGGTTATTCATTCAACACATTCCTAACACCTAGCACAGTGACTTGTATTTACCTGACACTCATCATTTATGAGATGAGTGGAAATAAAGTACTGGAAAGCAGAAAATAATTTGAAATTAAGTGGTCAATACCATTTGTGATAACTAATATGTTCATATTAAGTATGTTCTAGACATTTAAGCAAGAAACATGGTTTGAGAACTACTTAGGCAATCAATATTTTGCTTACATAGAACTCTTACATAGTTTTGAGGATTAGCTATGATTAGTTGGGTGATCATTGTCTGATACCCTGAAAAAGTGTTTTAATTTATAGATGAAGTTATTTGCTCAGTAGCCTGACTCCATTTCGGTAAGCCCAAGTCTGATATTAAAGCTCTCAACATAACTATGCTAATTGTCTTGATACAGTAGCACAAATAAAAATTTCTTAGCTTTAGATGGTTAATTTTAGTTGAAAATTTAGTGTTTTCCATTTCCAAACATTTAAATAATTATTTGTACAACCCAAGAGCAGTTAAGGGAATAGGTCCACAGCAGCAGAATGCTCCAAGAAAAGTCACATAGGGATTGAGGTAGGCATAATTGGACTCCTTGTTCAACTTGCTTTATCACTGATTTTACATTGACACATCTTAAATTCACTGTTTAATGTTATTCCACACTTTATTCCTTCTGGGAATGTTTCCAATTTTCCTTATATATGTTGTGCTGCAGTGAATATCCTTGCACACAATGTGTACCCTTGTGCATATTATTCAGAGTGTTTCTAATATAGAAACCACAACTGGAACAGCTGGGTTTAGGCCATGCATATATTCAGCCTTAACCAAAATTTGAAAATTTGCTCCTTAAAGTGATTTGGCAATTTGAATGTCCATTAACACAACATAAATTCCCTTATACTTGTACATTAGATGTCATCAGTAATTTCTGCAGATTTGATATTTGTGAAAAGAAAAGACCGTAGAAGATGGACATTTTCCCATGTTCTTGGATAAGCAGCATTAATATTGACAAAATGGCTAACTTCCAAAATTTAATGTGTATCTCCTGATTGGCTTGACCTTGTCTGTGTCAAAGTGACTGGCTTGGTTTTGGTGAATTGTTTCCTGGTGTCTGCATTGTAACTAGTTAAGTTCTTTTTTCTTATGGTGTAGAGTACTTTATTTTTTTAACATTTTAAGCTTGACATCTCCCAATCTATAACTTTTTTTTTTTTTTTTTCATTTTGGTTGTGGCTAATTTTTTTGTGGTGCTGGGAATCTAACCCAGGGCCTTGCATGTGCCAGCCAAGTGCTCTACCACTGAGCTACATAATTGTTAACAATTTTTTGAAAAGCCTTAGATTTGTAAAGCTATACTTCTGATATTACCAAGTCATATCTGAGAGCGTATTTGTTGGTTCTCTGCTCTATTCTTTTAAAAATTTATCCAGTATGTATGTACATGTGTGCCTTCTATGTGCTAGGCATCTGGGCACAAGGAATGCAGGGGCAAGTTGAAATCTGTGCCCCGAATGGACTTAATTTAAGTAAACCTTCCTTTATTACTTAAAAAAAGTCTCTTGGATATTATTGGCTTTTGACCCTTCCATTAAAATTTAAGGCTGGAAAATAGCAGGATATAAAATTAACACCCATAAATCAATTGCATTCCTATACCCCATGATGAATCAACTGAAAGAAAGAGCAAAACTATTCCATTCACAACAGCCTAAAAAAATAATGAAATACTTGGGAATCAATCTAATGAAAGAGGTGAAAGACCTCTACAATTAAAACTAGAGAAGAAAGAAATTGAAGGGCTGGGTTTGTGGCTCAGTGGTAGAGCACTTGCCTACCATGTGTGAGGTACTGGGTTTGATCCTCAGCACCACATAAAAATAAAGGAAATGAAGGTATTGTGTTCATCTATGACTAAAAAAATAAATAAATTGAAGACCTTAGAAGATAGAAATATCTCCCATGTTCTTGGATAGGCAGCATCAATATTGACAAAATGGCCATACTACCAAAAGTGCTACACAGAATTTAAGCAATTCCCATCAAAATTCCAATGACATTCTTCATAGAAATAGAAAATCAGTCATGAAATCCCTCTGAAAAAATAAGAGGCCCAGAATAGCCAAAGCAATCCTTAGTGAGAAAAGTGAAGCAGGAGGCATCACAATATCAGACCTTAAGTTATACTTCAGAGATATAGTAACAAAAAAGGCATGGCATTGGCACTAAAACAGACATGAAGACCAATGGAACAGAATAGAAGACATACAGACAAACCCACTTAACTACAATTATCTCATACTAGACAAAGATGCCATAAACATATTGGAGGAAAGATAGCCTCTTCAACAAATGGTGCTGGGAAAACTGGAAATCCATATGTAGCAGAATGAGATTGAACCCCTCTCTCTCCCTGCACAAAACTCAAAGTAGATCAAGGACCTAGGTATTAGACCAGAGATCCTGCACCTACTAGAAGAAAATATAGGCCCAACTGCCCATTGTGTTGGCTTAGGAACTGACTTCATTAACAAGACTCCTAAAGCATAAGAAGTAAAATCAAGAATCAATAAACCAGATGGAATCAAACTAAAAAGCTTCTTCACAGCAAAGGAAACAGGAATTCAGAGAGGAATCTTTGCCACCTGCATCTCAGAGCATTAATCTCCAGGATATACAAAAAAAAAAAAAAAAAAAAAAAAACTCAAAAGAACACCAAAAACAACAACAAATAACCCAATAAATAAATGGGCAAAGAAATTGAACAGGCATTTCACAGAAGAAGAAATATGAGTGGTCAACAAATACATGAAAAAAAAATGTTCAACATCTCTAGCAATTAGAGATATGCAAATTAAACTGAGATTCCATCTCACAATTACCAAGAATACAAGTAATAATAATAATAAAAAAGGAAGACAAGTTACAATAATTGTTGGAGAGGATGTGCAGGAAAAGGTACACTCATACATTGCTGATGGGACTGAAAATTCTGGAAAGCAGTATGAAGATTCCTCAAAAATTTGGAATGGAACCACCATTTGACCCAGTTTATCCCACTCCTCAGTATATACCCAAAACACTTAAAATCAGCGTAGTACAGTGATGCAATCGCATCAATGTCACATCATTCACAATAGCTAAGTTATGGAGCCAATCTAGGGGTCCTTCAACAGATGAATGCATAAAGAAAATGTTATATATATATATATATATATATATATATATATATATATATATATATTCCCCATCCATAAAGAAAAATGAAATTTGGCATTTGCTGGTAAATAGACAGAACTGGAGACCATTATGCTAAGTGAAATAAGCCAATCCCCAAACACAAGGGCTGAATGTTCTCTCTGATATGCAGATGCTAACAGACAACAAGGAGTGGAGGACAGAAGAACAGAAGTTCATTGTATTAGACAAAGGGGAATGAAGGGAAGGCAGGGAGAATGGGAATAAGAAAGAAATTAGAATGAATTAGACATAACTTTCTGACCATCATATACAAATACACAACCAGTGAAACTCTACATTATGTACAACCAGAAGAATGGGATCCTAATTAGAATAAGTTATGTATAATATGTCAAAATACACTCTACTGTCATGTATATCTAAAAGGAACAAATTAAACAAATAAAATTAAAAAGATTTAAGGCTGGGCATGGTAGAGCACACCTATAATTCCAGTGCTCAGGAGGCTCAGGCAGGAGGATTGCAAATTCAAGGCCAGCATCAGCAACTTGGCAAGACCCTGTCTTAAAAAACAACAACAACAACAACAAAAAAGGATTTTTCTTTCTTATATGCAATACTGGGGATTAAACCCAGGGCCTCACTCATGCTAGGTAAGCTCTCTATACCACTGAGCTATATCCCCAGTCTTTTTGAGAGGGGGTTTTCTAAATTACCCATGGTAGCCTTCAACTTGGCTGTCCCCCTGCCTCAGCCTTCCCAGTTGCTGGGATTACAGTGTGTGCTGCCATGTCTGACCATCCCGTTAAATTCTATTGAAACCCCTAATAAAATTTTGATTGCAATTTAATTTTGATTTAATTGGCAAGAATTATTCACTTTAGGGTCTTATATGTGAACATTGCATAGTGCTCTAAGTTGCCTTTGATATTGCAGAAAGTTTTATGAGTTTAAAAATACTGGTCACAGCTGTGGGGTACAGCTCTGTGGTAAAATGCTTACTTAGCATGCAAAAAAGAAAAAAAGTCACTCACATCTTGTTAAGACTTATTTCTAGAATTCACTTTGTTTTTATTGTTATTATGTAAGGTTTTTTTTTTTTTTCCATGCTGGGGATGAAACTCAGGGCCTTCCACATGTTGGGCAAGCACTCTACCAATAAGCTCCACTCTAAGCAGAGGCATATTTTTTAATATTGCATCTTACAATTGACTGAGTACAGGAATTATGGGTTTGGTATATCAATCTTGAATCTAGCAACTTTGTTCAATTACTTAAAAGTTTGAACTGTATGTCCATGGGCTCTTGGAATTTCAGGGTAAACATATTATCAATGAATAATGACAGTCCATACCTTTCAAAATTTCATACTTTTTTCTTGTCTTACAGAGATGTCTAAACTTTAAACAGAAACTGAAATAGAAACAAGGCATGTTTGTTCCTGATTTTGAAAAGAACATTTGAGTATTTTTCTTTTTCTTTTTTTTGGTGGTACAGGGGATTGAACCCAAGGCCTTGTGCATGCCAGGCAATCACTCTACTGAGCTATATCCACAGCCCAAGAATATTTCACTATTAAGTATGGTGTTCGCTTAAGGATTTTGGAAGATACCCTTTATCAAGATATGGAAGTTAACTTGTATTCTAGTTTTCTAAGTGTCTATGTGAATAGTTATTTATCAAGTGGTTTCTTAAATCTGTA